GGCAAACCAATTATAAACAGTCCTATTGGATGGTGCTTCATCCCCAAAAGCCAAATGAAGTCGATCGATGCATTGTTTCGGAGTTAGATTACATTTGTAATCGTAAAAAATCATTGCTCGAAAATTTTCACGCAAAATTTCCATTTTCTTACAAAATAGCTTCTTTTAAAATACTATGCAAACAAAACTAGTTGGCTTGGGTACAAACTGTCAATTGAATTATAGGTTAAAAACGTCTAATTTTACGGATATGATAGTAGCGGAACGTTGGTGCCACTGGAAGTACTAGATTGTAGAAACTTTTCCAGCAGCTATAATTCTATCTTGTGAAGTGATTCTGCATATGTATAATCCATTTTTAAGCTCTTCTATTTTTCGCCATGGTTTAAACATAAGAAGGGAAAAAAAATTTTTCTGGCTGCGTATTAACACTATATTTATAATAATTAATAAAATATCCATCCATTAATAAAATATCCGCTGTCGCTATTTAAGATAATAATTATTGTTCATCTTATAATATGTCATATTTTTACTTCGTGGTTTGATTTTCATAATATCATATCATTTTACAAATTTATATAAAGACGTCGATTCAAATTCTTTTGATCTATATGGATAATGATGATTTATTATAGACAGACAAAATATGTCTGTAGAATCTGCGTCAAGAGCTCCAATTTCTTTACAATTTTTAACTTTCCTGTGTCGTATTTGATTAACATCTAATCATTTAATACTCGTATTTCAATCAATCCCATTTAAAGGAATACTTAGCAATGTATCAGCAACTTCAAGAGTTCCACATTCCCTATTATTCATGAATCGTAAACCAATATTCCAAAGATAGCTCGCTACATTTCTGTTTTTTCTGATTTTTACTCTCAAGATTAGAATTGGATAATTGTAAAACTCTTTCTTTCTTTATTAATATATTTAGTAACATATCCAATAAGAATCGTAGATTTTTCAGCAAGAAATTGTATATTCATATTTCCTTCCTATGCATTAAGAAGAATAGGATTCGTACATATTGACATATGATATAATCGTTTATATTGACTTCAATATCTGTTCGAGAAAGTCTACTTCTATGTTTTAATTATTTCCTTTCTACTATCGAACTTACAACATCTCTGACAATCAACGTTTCCGTAACAGGACGTGGAAAACCAAAACGACATACGAGTACATGACCAATTTTTCGTCCTCTTTTCTTAGAACGAAGATAATAATCGTTATGTTTATGTTGTTGATACGTATTAACTCGCTTATATAATAATGGAGAAATATTTTTATCCAGCATTTTACAACTTATATATTGTAAAATAAATTTAGAAATTTTTTCAACAGAAGATTCACCAATAATTGGCACATTTTTAATCCAAATTAACAGATGAAAATGCTATAAACTTCTAACCTTGGTATTGTCGAAGTGTAACTTCTCCAATTGAATGATTTTCAGAACAAATAAAATCAAGCATTGCTCGAAATTCAGTCTCAAGGAATCTTGATGTTGATACAAAATCTCTAGCAACACTAGTACAAGATGAATCATTACCATCCATTTACTTCATGAATGTGTATTGACCTAAATCATCTCACATCCACTCACTTGGACTTAATGTTAAAAACTATGTCGCAGGTCCGTAATGTTGTATCATACAATTTAAATCATTTTTTGGTCTACGCCAGTATTGTTCCGTATTTCTTAAAGTGAAAAATATCGTACTTAAATTAGGTTCTAATAAATCTTCATACATTGCTTGTAAATGTTCTGAAGCCGTATAACAATCTCGCAAATTAATTACATTCAATTTATGGTAAATACCACGAGCTAATTGACGATTATTTGCATTATTTAACAAATAAAATAAGTACTGTTCATTTAATCTGAATTAGGGATGTTTAGTCAAATTAATTTTAATAAATTCGTGATCATAAAGTTTAATCTGTCTAAATTCATGTTGTCCATTAACTAAAAGGATATAAATCTGAAAAACACAATAAATCTAAAAATTTTTCACGATTGTTCAGGGGTAATTCTTGAATTTTTAACATTTGAAATAAAGTGATAGTACTTTCACGTGATTTTTTTTTTATATAAAGAATAAATAGTATACTGCTCGTAATAAATATTCTTATCATCAACTGAGTTAACATTGCTTCACCCTTATTATTTAATATAATAGTTTTTACGTTATTTTTTTGTTTCTTGTGTTTCAATTTTTGAATTCACTAATGTATCGTCGTCATTCGAAACAGATTCACTATCAATTTCGTCTTTTATTCAAAAAAATTCCATATTCTCCTCCGAACATAATTTATCGTGAGTATCTGGCAATATAATATGTTTGTAAAGAGGATTGTTACATTTTAACCATGTTAAAGCATCAAATATTTTTTTACATCTATTAATTCTTCCCAAATAGTTTTAGATTTTATCGGAACTTCTGATGAAGTCGCTACGAACTTATTATCAAAAACTCTAAAATCGCCGAGCTCCAAAATCTTGCTCGCAACGGCGTACGTGCGAGTTTATTCGCCTCATAAACGATTTATCATCGTTCGCGTGTTCCTTGATGATAGAGTCTCTACGTTTATCTCCTTACGTTAATCGCTTGTTCAACGCCTACGCCTTTCGAAAATTAATCGCTTCGTTTCCATTAACGGCATTGGCGAAATGCAATCCGTCGTGCGTCACGCTACCAAAATCGCGATTATCCCAGCGTATCGCGACAGACCTGCCTACACTATGACCGCGTTTATACTTCGATCATTAACGAAATATTTACCGAATCGAATCGATATTGCGTACAGCTGGAAACACGTTGCAGGACTCGAACTTGCCGATCGTGACCCCATGAGTTCAGATCCGATCTATTCGGTATGCTCATCCCCGACGGTGTTCGAAAAGGTTCCGAACATGAACCTACCGCGCAAAATACTACTTTCGGCTGGATTCTGTCTGGACCAATAGCCTCGTTTCCTCGACTATTGAATCAATTTTTGCACTTGCGCATCACGGAGTCGTTATTGAGACTCTCGATCGCGATTTTCGTCGCTTCTGGGAAATTGAGGAAGTACCTCAAGAAGCTCCTCGGAGCCCTGAGGAGCATTAGTGCGAAGAGCACTTCAAAGCCACACATTCCCATATGCCGGAGGGACGTTATATCGTTCGACTACCGTTTAAAAACGGATCTATCTCGATAGGTAAACAGCAATAGGCGAATCGCGCTCTATTACTGTTTCGAGCTTGGAACAACGCTTAATTCGAGACCCAATTAACGCTTCCGAATATCGCGAATTTCTCGCAAAGTACGAAACTCTCGGTCATATGATTAAAAGTCTACCGACGGAAATTGTCAAACCAGAGCAAACCTATTATATTCCGCATTATGCTGTCTTACGTGATAGCAGTGCAACCACTCGCTTACGAGTGGTCTTCAACGCTTCATGCCGTACCTCAAACGAAACGTTGTTGAACGACCACATGCTCATTGGCCCTAAACTTCAGAAGGATTTAGCCACTGTCCTAATACAGTGGCACCAATACCGTTACGTGTTTAATGCTGATATCGCTAAAATGTATCGGCAAATCTTAGTTGATTCCAGGGACATCGACTATCAGCGCATTATGTGACAATCTACCCCTGATGAACCAATTACGGATTACCGTCTTCTTACCGTTAGTTACCTACAGCACAGTCGCCGCTCCCTACTTAGCCCTTCGGGGTTTTTAGATCAACACATCGACGATAAAGGTGCCGCATTTCCGCTCGCGGTTCCCGTTTTATATCATTAAACATATGTTGACGATTACGCTTTCGGCGCATCAAATTCTTGTTCGTCAAACACGCGATCAATTGATAGAGTTATTAAAGAAAGGAGGCTTTTAACTTCGAAAATGGCCAAGCAACGCCATCGCTCTGTTGTCCGATCTTGATCTTGCGGATCATGATTTAGCCACTCATAAAATTCTTCAAGACGATGAGCACCTTGAGGTCTTAGAAATACTTTGGAATCCTAAGCTAGATATCTTTCAATTCCGCGTGACCGTACCGTCATTACTGAAAGAATCAAACAAATCATTCTGTCGACCATCGCCAAATTTTTCGATACTTTAGGATGAGCTACTCCCGTCAGTATTACCGCTAAAATTTTTATGCAGCGACTGTGGTCACTCCAATGCCGGTGGGATGACATTCCTAGCCAACTTCTTGATTGCTGGTCCAATTACCATCAACGACTTTCGTGTCAATGCGATTAGCATTCCGCGCTACTTACGGATCTCATACTCTATACTGCGCCCTTCATGGGTTTTCCGACGCCTCGACTGCGGCTTTCGCTGCGGCAATGTATCTTCGTACCGTCAATGTAGACGGCTCAATTACCTCACTTGTCGCCGCCAAATCAAAGGTGGTCCCTCTTAAAACGATCAGCGTCCCGCAATTGGAGTTATTCGCTACGTTGCATTTCGCGTGCTCAGCGCTCCAACTCCCAAATCTCGAGTGTCACTGCTAGATAGACTCCACCATTACACTCGCCTGGCTGAGTCAATCACCTTCCCGATGGAAAACCTTTGTCTCCAATTGTATTTTCGCTGTGCAATCACTCCTCCCTGGAGTTCCTTGGCGTCATGTTCCGACACACACCAATTCCGCTGACTGTGCTTCATGCGATCCCGATCTTTTCGAGACACATACTTTATGGTGATCAAGCCCTCCATGGGGACATCATCCTCCCGAGTCCTAGCCGAACTCGTGTCCTTCGGTACCCTCTAATTTCTCTCGAACAACGCCCGGAACCTCCGGTATGTGCATTGCACGCTCCATTGAGATCTTGCGTCGCGCTATTATTCGTGGCCAAAATTGCTACGAATTACTGCTTACCTGTACCGTTTTCTAAATTGACTCCGACACTCTAAAAACTCACAAGCGAATACCGCGACTTTGCTCCCCGAAGAAATTCAGAACGCCAAACGCTACTGGCTCAAAACCATGCAGTTAGACATGTTTGTTAATGAGATCTCGGCTCTAAAACAAAATCGCCTGGTACCGAAGAACAGTCCGCTCTTCGTTCTCAATCTTTATATGGACAAGGATGGACTTATTCGTATTCGAGGAAGACTTCGTCGAGCTTGTCTCCCTGAAGCGACGAGGAATCTCATCATCTTACGCGCGCATCCGCTGTTAGTACTCATTATCCATCATCTTAGAATGTTGCATGTCGGTTCTCAATTAACGCTCGCGTCATTGCAACACGAATTCTGGATTCTCCGAGCCCGCACCATCATTCGATCCGTTTTTTATAAGTGCATACCATGCACGCGTGAACGCGCCGACGTGCCCATCGAATTCATGAGTGACTTCCAGGCTGCAAGAGTCAACCGCACCGCTCGTGCTTTTGTCCATACCGGCGTCGATTACGCAGATCCGATAACTATCCAAACAACTGCCGGTCGAGAGTATAAATCGCAAAAAGCCTATATCGCTTTATTCATATGTCTCACTACCAAAGCTCTGCACTTAGAGCTCGTCAGCGATTATACCTCTCCTATCGTAGCAGAGTATCAACGATTTATTTCTCACCGAGGACTACCGACGTCCATGTATTCCGATAACGAAACCACGTTTCACGGCGCCGATAGCAAATTGTCCAAAGCACATGCAAAAGCCATTCGCGATCCTAACTTCCGCAACCAACTCACTATCGACGGAACTGCGTGGCATTTTCTACTCCCTGCGTCGCCGCACTTCGGCGGCCGCAGTTAGGAAGCCGATGTTAAAAGTATCAAGCATCATTTAAAACGATGCATCGGCCTCCACACGCTAACTTTTGAGAAGCTGTCTATGCTGCTCTGTCGAATCGAGGCGTGCCTTAATTCGCGTTCGATCGCTTTCGTTTCCGATAATCTCGGCGACTATCACGCTCTGACCCCCGGTCATTTTTTGAAACCTCTCTTATCGCTACCGCTGAACCAAGCGTACTTGACTTAAATAAAAATCTTTCGCGTTGGCAAATAGTTCAACATATAACTAAATATTTTTGGAGGTCTTAGTCCGGTGGTTACTTGTATACCTTTCAACAATGCCCAAAATGGCGCGTTGTCCAACGACTGGCTAAAGTCGGCCAAATCGTCCTCGTGCGTAACCCTCTGGCTCCACCGAGCCAATGGGAACTTGACCGGATTATGGCGTGTTATTCCGGCGATTTAACTCGCGTCGTAACTATAAAAACAGGGCCTACCAAATACAAGCAACCGACTGTGAAACTTTGTTTTCTTCACGATCAATACCGAAGAATCTAAAGACCCCGTCATGGCGGGCGGATTTCCGGTGAACGTACCTGATGTTACCGATATCGCGAACTTTAAGTTTTGATTGTATTGCGTCACGATCTTTGTATTCTGTATCAAACTATTTTCGTCGTTATACCATTATTGTATCTTGCGTGCTTTGATGCGAATTATTTCGAATGCTTACATTCGAGGCGGGCGGTATGTTTCGGAATCATCGTTAATTTCAATGTATTCTCGGAGATGGCAAGTAAACAACTCATCGACACCGTTCAAATCACGAGTATATTTCGCTCCTATTCTAATCACGCTATCTATCTCAGATGGCACGCGATCCCCCTTGCGCGACTCCCGAAAAGCTGACTACCGCGCACACGTTCTGTGTGCGAATGTTCAGTTTACTGCCCGATCCCGATCAATTCGGATCAATCGATATTCATTCTTAACGCATCTTATCCCGAATATTATAATAAGTGCAAACCGACTTGTCATCGTACATCAACGTTGTATTTTGTTACATAACGTTACCGGTATACGCGTACCGCGAGGGCATTCAGTGCGCGAGAATTACCTGAATTTCCGACGAGATTTGCTGGTCTCGTTACTGCTCGCAATACGCATTCTTTCAAACGGTTGCGAGAAATTACTCAACGTACCAAGTGCGTATTTCCTGTGCACGCATCTAACCGAACGCATCAATTATCGCAATATTATTATTACAAGCATCGCCTACCTCCCGCTTCGAATAAATAATTCAACTCTATAATAAAATTTAACTTATTACAACCAAGAGAGTCGTCGTTATTACACGCCGCCTTGGCGAGCCTTCTATACAAGGTGACACCAGCGTCACAAACACAAAACACATATGTTGGAAATAATCTTTCAAAAATTGCTTATGTTGTTCATGCAATGTTTTATTATTTAAGGAATCGTATATATTATAAATATATTTTTTTATCGTAAAAACTACAACTCAATGTCCGTCTAATAAACTTGATGAACTATATAATATTTGTATATGTTTTGTATCTTTTGATACAGCTTGTATTGTATCTAGTACGCACGCACGCACGCACGCACGCACGCACGCACGCACGCACATTTGATGTGACAGTTTAACATTTTTAGTTTCGCAACAGACGTACACACCACTATATTAAATTATATATTACGCGATATAAAGGTCGATTCAAATTACGAAAAAAGATAGTCCGCTGATTGGTTGTCATTCTTAATCAAGCTTCGACCAGTGGGTGCTGGGACTATTTTATTTCAAGAACAGAGTCTGCATTGGTTAATTTTCGTTCATTTTTTTTTTCTTTTTCTTTCACTCTTTTTGGGTTCAATTCTGTATTTAAATCTCTTCTCGAAGTAGGGGAGTTCAATCATCATAAGACAATTTTTTATTCACAGTTTATTTATGTTAGTTTGTGTTGTCTCTGAGAGGACTCAAAAGTGAGTCGAAACATATAAGCGCGTTTTAGTGAATAAAGAAGTTTCACACTTCATAGATATATTATTTGTGCGACGTCTTCTGCGCTTGATTCCTACTGCTTCCTCCGTATGCTTTCCAGTTCTTTGAGAATATTATTTTCTAAGCTTAAGCCTGTGCTGAATAATCAAAATGTTATGCTTCACTTATAAATTGGAGATAATAAAATATCATCATCTGATATGTACATTCCGCAAAAACGCGATAATAAAAAAAGCAAAAAATAAATTATATTTTTGCAGCCTCAATTGTGCTGTAAGGTTATAACGCAAAACAATAATTATACACTATGCCAATATAAATAATAATAATAATCGATAGTGTCGCCTATCGGGCCATGGGAGCCCGCAGTCGCAGACGAGTCCTCCTTAGGACTGGACTGCAATGTCCGGGTAAAACATTTTTCATGCCTGAATATATATAAATATATATAAACATGCATAAAGATATATAAACATTCATACATTTATACATAATTATATATAAAATACGAGGTCTGGCTATTAAATAACGAGACTGCTTATGAAAAAGAGTTTTATTTTTAAAATTATTCTACAATTGAATGCTCCCTTTCAATATACTCCCCTCGCCACACACCGTTCTATTCGTTTTTTCCATTGGTTAAAGCAATGCTGGAAGTCTTCTTTTGTAAGAGCATTTAGGAGCTCCGCCGATTTTCGCTTCATCTTTTCCATCGACTTGAACCGGGTTCCTTTTAAGGCAGACTTGATCTTCGGAAACAGGAAAAAGTCACAGGGTGCTAAATCAGGCGAGTACGGCGCGTGTTCGAGCACTGGAGTGCCTCTAGCGGTTAAATAACGCTTCACAGACAGCGCGTTATGGGCAGGTGCGTTGTCCTGGTGTAAGATCCACGACTTGTTTTTCCACAACTCCGGCCGTTTCTTACGAACTCGCTCTCGCAGTGTTGCCAAAACTGTCAAATAGTAAGTTTGGTTTACAGTTTGACCCTCTGGAACCCATTCAGTCATCACGATGCCGTTGATGTCGAAAAAAACGATTAGCATGGCTTTAAATTGACGTTGGTCATCTTCGGTGCTCTCTCGGCCTTCAGAAAACCGTTTATACCATTCGAAAACACGCGCACGAGATAGAGAATTCTCACCATAGACCTCTTTCAACAACTTATAGCACTCAGTCGGAGTTTTTTTTAATTTAACGAGAAATTTCACATTGATCCGTTGCTCGTGTTTTTCGTCACACATTGTTATCTGCACGAGAAAAAAACAAGTTCGTTTCTAACCTCTATAGAAAAAATACTACTACTGCGACAAAAACGTGTTTTCGTACTGGAATAGTAGACACTTCCAGCTATCCAACGCTGCATTCGTTTCCCACCCTACCCCTCTAGGACGCCTTCTGCGCGCGCAGTCTCGTTATTTAATAGCCAGACCTCGTATGTATCATATATTCTTCTTATGTATATTTCCGGTTTTATAACGTCTTTCGCCGTTGTTCGATACCTCTCATACGTACGCCTGTGGTGCGCAGATCGTTCATCGAGCATATACGACCTACAATTTTAACGCCGATTCCGAACGGCAGTTTTTGAAAGGTTTTCTTGGCAACAGATACTCTTGGATTTGTCAGACCATCGAAGAGGAGCTACGAGCGCGTGAAAAATTCTTTGAATCTGTCTGGGATCGAACCCGGGATCTCTAGCATAGCAGTCTCGTGCGCTACCTGCTCGTGTTCTTATATTATTCTTCTTTTGCAAAATTATTTAACATAATAAAAATGAGAAAACATAAAAAACAATTATAAGGATCATTTTCGCATTGTTTGTTTTAGAAAAAATCAAGTTTGGAGAAATGTAAAAGAATTGCTCATACATAATTATGTATAAAGTTGCATATAATATTAGGTTGTTCGGAAAGTAATTTCGTTTTTTCTTATGAAAATGAAAGACGATTTTCAATCAGACGCGTTTCAAATGATCATGAACGGTCGAATTCGATAAATTTAATCTCTCAGCGATCTCACGAGTTGTTATTCCGATTTGCATCAATTAATGCCTTTATTGTGTCTTCATCAGCTTCAACTAGCCTTCCAAAACGTGGTGCATTTTCAACATCAAAATTGCCGGATCGAAATTTTGCAAACCAGTTTTGGCACTGGCGTTCTGTCAATACATCTTCTCCATACACAACGGATAATTTTTTTCTTGCTTGAACAGCATTTTTACCTTTTCGATAGTAAAAAAGTAAAATATGCCGAAAATGCTGCTTTTCACTTTTATATTTGATAGGGCACCAACCAAAAACTACTGCGTAGAATCAATCGAACTTTTTTCACAAGCAAGCCTTGCTATATCAGCTGTCAAAATATATAATGATTATGCGGCTTAAGTGTGAAGTTGGCTGTGAAAAAATACAATAAGTCCTCTGTTGAGAAAAAACGAAATTACTTTCCGAACAACTCAATATTATGTATGAGCAATTTTTTTACATTTCCCTAAACTCGATTTTTTTCTAAAACAGCAGTGCAAAAGTGATCCTTGTAATTATTTTTTATGTTTTCCCATTACATTGTCATTTTTATTATATAATACTAAAGAGTAATTTTATAAGAGAAAGAAGAATGTATGGATATGTAGATGTTATGTATAGTTGTGCATAATTGTATATGTTTGAGAATATTTATACATGTTTATTCATGTTTATGTACGTTTATATAGTATACGTTTATATCCGTGCATGAAAAATTTTTTATCGAGATCGAATCAGAAAATCCTAATTCGCCAAATCTATTAATTTTTCACCCATTTTATTAACAAATTATTACAGAATCGTATTATTTAATAATGATCACGATTTCTATCGTGTTTGATTCCATCTTACTATCCTATCATGTAGTGCACATTAATTATATTATTCATATTTCTGTTAATAACAAATGAATAAATCTCTCATTACATTCCTCTCCATAAAATAAAGGATTCCGATTGGTTGATTTTTTTATGC